GATGATCAGGGGTCTGGAGCACCTCTCTTAGGAGGACACATTGCCAGAGCTCAGGGGATTTAGTCTAGAGAAGAGCAGACTGAGAGGGGATCTCATCAATGCAGATCAGTATCTCAAAGGCAGGTGCCAGGAGGATGGTGCCTGACTCTTTTTGATGGTTCCCAGTGACAGGATGGGAGCAGTGGCCATAAACTAAAACACAAGCAGTTTCACCTCAACATGAGGAAGAGCTTCTTTCCATTGAGGGTGGCAGAGCGCTGGAAAAGGTTCTGGGGTCTCCCTCTCTGGAGACATTCAAACCTGCCAGGACAATTCCTTTGTAACCTGCTCTGGATGGCACTGCTTTGGCAGGGGGTTGGACTGGCTGATCTCCAGAGCTCCCTTCCAACCCTAATGATGCTGTGAAACCTATAGCAGCTTTTCTTTGAAAAAACACAAAGAAAATAAGCTGTTTTTGCAGCGTGTGCATGTCCGAGGAGTTGCGTGTGACAAGCGACACAGCGGTCAGCACTCTTATCTTGTGCTGGCTCTGTACAAAAGCCCTGTCAGTCTGTCTGTGCTGTCTGCCTCTAACTCCTCCACGATGTCCATAGCACAGTGCAAGGCGATAGTCCTTCACCCACCCAGCCGTTGTGATGTCTGTGCTGAGCATTACTCAGGTGAGGATTTCCTCCCCACCCTGCCTGCTCCTTCCCAGCCTGCTCCAGAAACTTGCAGCTTGTTGCTTATTCCCACCTGCCTTCAACCTGGGTTTTGGCTTAAGAGGGATGAACCCTCTTAAGCAGGATTTCTGCTGCAGCTCAGCTCACTGCCCTATTGTGGGATAGTTGGGGCACAGTTATTTATCTAACAGTATTTAACACAAATTACTCGGGTCTGATGGGGATGAGTCCTCACTCAGTACAGCCATGGCAGGACAGCAAAGCAGAGGATCCCCTTGAGATCCTGCTTGTGATGAGTTAGAGGTATCTTCACTGCTCATAACAAGCTTTTGTTGTGCCATGTGATAATGTTCTTACTTTTTCAGGCAACAGATCCTAAAAGCAGCATAGTTTTCTGCTCACAATGTGATCCAGTACAAGTGGTTGAGCTTGGATTTGCTCAGACCTCTGAAGAATGTCCAGATAAAATAGCTTTTTTTTTTTACACTAAAACTCCCCTACCTTAGATATTTCCACTTCTAAGAGATGCTTGATGTTTTCCTGGGAGAACCATGGAAGTGCTAATGTAGTATTCTGCTCTGATTTATTAGCCTGTTTCCCATGCAGATGCACTAGGGAGTGAATATAGATCTAAAGTAATGTCCACTGACACGTGCACAGCCAAAATGTTCCTGCTTTCCAATTTCCACTCCTTTATCCCAGAGAAAGGTGGTCTTAAGATGCTGCAAGCCTCCAGTGGTGGCTTCACTCCAAAGACTTTTGGATCTTCTCAGGTGTTAAGGGCAGCACTGGGGACCTGTAGCAGGGAAAGGAGATCTTAAGTGAAAGGAGATCTCTTAAGGCAAGGGGTGAAAAGCCTTCAACTTTGGCATACTACTTTCATGGGTTTGTTTTCAGGGTTATCTTTGCATAGAAGGTGGCACTATCTAAACAGGGGATGGAGGGGATGCAAGCAGGGGATTTAATTTCTCTGGGTTGCTATTAGGGATGTCATTTAAAGGGCAGCGTGGATGAAACCGCTTTGGAATACGGCAAATTTCCCGCTCCATTTCTTGCTTCCAAGTATTAAATCTCCTTGTTCATCTCGAAGCTGGATGGGTCCTGTTCTTCTGCAAATGGTGGGAAATAAACAATGGAGACGTGCCACAGTGCCTTGGCAGAGCTCTCAATGTGCTGACACGAGGCCACAAGTGTAAGTCTAACGTTGGCAATTCATCAGCTTCACTAAAACTGAAGTGAACTCCCTGCAAGTCACCGCGAGTAGAGCTGCGTGCCTGCGTGCACGCGTCCTAGGAATTCGGGATATGAGTGTCCCCTTGATGTGCCTGCCAGGGGATGTTGGAGATGCGTTGCTGGCTTTTGGGTTTTCCCCTGGGCAGAACCTGGAGCACAGCCTAACAGATAAGGTCGGCCACCCCTGGCAGCTCTCCTTTAACTGTGTGTGAGGACACAGACAATAACGCCTGTAGCTAGCTAGCTTGCCTAAAATAGAGTTTTGCAGCCTGCTTTGTCCAGCGAGGAGGACCATAAAAATAGAAGTGAAAAGTTTTCATAGCCCTGACCTCTTCTTTCTGTTTAAGTACACTTAATCCTGACATTCAGGTGTGAGTTCTAATTATTACTCCTGGTAGTGAGATGTAACTGATGATTGATGGATGTTTCTCCTCTGTCATAGAGGGTGGATCTATGGCTTTCTGCATCCATTTTGTCCCCATGAAGGGCTGGCTCCTCCATGGAGCTGCAAGGGTTTAGGGTGTTGCATCTTTTCAGCTCCTCCATAACTGGAAGGAAGCAATAATAGTGCTTTGAAGGAGGAGAAAATGGGTGAAAGGCTAATGGTGGTTGGTCATGGGCTTTAGCCAGGCTATCTCCCAATGGATGTGCCTTGGAACCTCATAGAATCATAGAATGATTTGGGTTGGAAAGGACCTTAAGACCTAGTTCCAACTCGCTGCCCATGAGGCACCTCCCAGTAGACCATGTTGACCAAAGACCTGAACATTGCAGGGTTTTATCCCACATTGCCTAGTGGGTTCCCCTCCAGTAAGTAACTGGGTGACTCGTAAGTGAGGTAGAAGAGCACTTGGGAAGTCTCTGTGTGTGTGTTCCTCCCACTTTTCATGTTCCAGTGGGTTTGCTACTCTGAATAATGTTGTAGAACTCCAGTAGGCCTTTAAGGTAACAGCCCAGAAGTGGGATGACCATATCTAGCTGTCTCCTTTCCATGGGTCAAGTCTGAGTGGCATGTTGCTTGGATGAAACGCTGAATGAGACTCTGGCCTTTCCAAAGCATCACCTCCCTACCCAGACATGCTTTTTCGAGAAGCTTGAAAGATCCTGGTCCAACAGATGTAATTAGATGGTTTTGCTTGCATTGATAAAGCAGCACTCGGTGCTCATCCAAGATGAGTACCTGAGAGAGCTGTCAGCACAGAAGATTGATACATGCTTGAAACTGATAAGAGGAACCAAGAGTTACTGCATGACAAAAGGACAGCATGAATTTCTGTTGTGTTTGCAAGCATCTGTGAGGACAGACTGCAGATACCTTCTAGCATGTGCTTGCCATTGTTGAAGGTTGGGGGTATTTTTTTGTCTCTATAAAACTATTTCTTGCAAGAGCTGAAAACCCAAAACATGGTTTCTCCTCAATGAATATTTATGGCTTCCAAATCTTCCAGCATACTTTTGCATGTGTAATTAGGCTGTAAGTTGAGTAAGTGAGCACTGGAGAACTACAAACATAAGAGCCTAGGGAAAATGCTTGATGTTTCTGGTTTATTTGGGTGCTTGCTTTTTAATAATGAATAGCATTTTTTAGATGAAACAGCTTGTGTTCTCCAAAAGATGCGTCAAAAGCAGTAATTATTGGGACCATTGCACCAGCAGACTTGTCTAGTTAAGTGATGTTTTTAATCACATGTACAGCATCCAACTTTACCCAACTTCAGTTGGGTGATGTAACCAAAGCCTCTGAACTGTCTTGTTTTGTTTAGTGGGAGATAAAGGAGATGAATCCTTTCCCTCTTCTCCAGTCGGCTCTGCTCCCAGTTTGAGTTGCATGGCATGACTCAAATTCCTATTTGATCAGGGATTGTGTTGGTTAAAGCAGCTTTCTCTGTGCAAAAGGTAATTGGGTTGTTTTTGAGTTCTGGTGTTGTCGTGTGAATTGCATCCTCAGTCAGTTTATTTTTTGGAGACTAGAAGGGGCTGGGCTTGAAGGTGCCTCTGTGTGTGTGTTCAGCCTGTGAAATGGGATTGAAGAAGTTGTTATAGGTCAGGATTTGGAAGTCCAGATCTGGAAAGGAAGCAAACCCCTCATCCGAGTAGCTGTAATGCTGTGTTACATCTCTGTACTTTTCCACTGCTTGGCCTCTGGAAAAGTTTTTGGTCTTCAGTGGGTTTTTTCCATGCTCATTTGAATGACAGCTGTTCACGTGTTTCGTGTATTGCTTCGGTAGCAGCTCAGTCTTGTGGGTTTTCTGAGGGGTGAAGATGAGGACTTGAGAAGGATACAAAGACAGTATTTGTCGTACTAATGATGCTACAGAGAAGTTGCCTTGGATGCAAACAGTGTGGAATGGGCCTGTGGCAAAAACAACCAATATTTCTTTGTCTTTTAACTTATACCCCAAAAGTTGCTTCATAAACACCCAAAGAAAATGTTAACATTGGTGCTTGGAAGTTTGAACGGGGAACTTCCTGGTACCCCTGTACTCAGCTGCATGTTAAGTGACACTTAATAGTCCCTAAACAGCAGTTTTCTTTCCCAAGAGCTCCGTTGCTTTACGCTGAGATTTATGGAGGCAGCGTGGTGAGTTGACAGGACATTAATTTGCTCATCTTGGAGTCACTGCGTGTGATCTCTCACAGCCTGCTCCCTTGGAAGTGCCTGGGTGTTATTGTTGACTCTTTAAGGAGGACAAGAATGGTTTCCAACCGAGCGTGACTCATGCAATCTTAGCCTCAATCTATCAAACAACGATGCATTGGATTAAATGATTACCTAAAGGATTAGGAGTTAGATTATTTTTTGGGGAGGCGGGGGGTAGGGAAGAGTAAAAATACATAGAGAATCTGAAAACAAACCCCCCCCAAAGTTGCAAGAGACAACCCCCAACTAATCGGATAATGCCAAAAGCTGCTTCTACTCTTGGTTTACACTTCCAAAATGGGAAATGTTGTAAAAGTTGAATCTCTCCTTTTCTGTAGAGATCATCCTCTGCCAAAAGAGTGATAGTTCACCTCCTTCTGAGCCTTCTGCTTGGTTCCTGCTGCCTGTCAGGCACCTGCAGTAGCAACATTGTTCTGATTTTATTTTACTTTTCCCTTTTCCAGATGAAAATGAAAGTGCTGGCTGCGTGTTACTGCACACATCAAGGAAGGTAAGTACGGATGCTGTGTGGTCACTTTATTTTTACATCATCTAGAAGCAGAGAAAAAGGACCTTGAAACACTTCGTAGGAGTGGGGGAATGTTTGTTTCTGACCTGAACAGAAGGTGTGTTAATGGCTTTTCCCTTGAATTCCTCTCTCTTTAAACCTAACAAGCCATGTGCTGCTCATTCTCCAGTTTCTCTGTAATTCTGATTGTTCCACTGCTTTTTGTCTGACACAATTCCTTGACATATTAATTCATCACTTTCTCTTCTACAGCTGCCTGCAAAGGGATCCAAGCATGCACCATAGATTCAGGCTGTTGAGCTCCTCTCCAACCGAAAGCAGAAACACCCAATAGACATTGCTGTGATTTTGGTTTCCTGTTTATTCCAGCTAATCAGGTCTGCCTTCATGAGGTTCAGCGGGAGTGAATTCCCTGGAAGCACACTGTCTAGGAGGACAATTAGGAAACAACACTTAGTTTACACTTGCTCTTGAGACTGTAACTCAATAACAATAAGGTGAAAGTGCAAAAAAACCTCATATAAACCCTGTTAGTACAAACCTCCGACTATGAAAGTATGCAGGGAGGAAATGGGTTGATATTTAATACCACATGAAGTCTTTGGGGTTGTGAAGCTTTGAGTTGGCTTGAGTCTTGCCTCATCTGCTGGCTGGAGGGGCTGCCTGCCTGCCTGAGAACTTGTAGCATTGCTGATCCTGGTAAATCATATTGCAAGCTCTGTTGAAGGTTGTTACCTTGGGTTCTTAAATCTATGTACCAAAGCCTTGGGGGGTTTTTAGGGAATCACAGAGAGCTCTTTAGCTCTGCTTTGCTTTTAGGCCTCTATGTTGAAATCCTTAAGAAGTATTTCAGCAGGCTAAATTAACAGGTGGAGGAAAACATGTAACGGCCTCAGTAGAAGGAACCTTCCCCTCTCCAGCTTAAAACAAAAACCCCAAAACAAATCCACTACCATCAAAAAGAAATTGAACATTGTTTGATATTTAGCCATGGAAGTTAAAATGAGTTATTCATGCTCAAGAATGGAAATGTCTTTGTCAGTAAGTTGTCTTGTCTAATACTAGTGCTACAGCTCTGAGTTATGTACACTTGACTGAAAGTAACCCAAGAACCTAATCACCTGAAGTGCAAATTCTATCCCCTAATGCAGGGTCTGCCTCTGATAAGAAATAGTTTAAAGCTACTAATATGCAAGTGTCTCTTTTAATTTTCCTTTTCAGAGCTGCAGGATTCCTGCTTTTTCTGGCCTGCAGTTCATGCTTGAGCATTGTAGTGAGCTGTTGAACAACAAATAGCAGAAAGCCAGCATGCCTTAGCAGGGCTTGAGAGAAGATGCTATTGCCAGGTTTTGCCCCCAGGGAGGATGAGTGGAAAGTTTGTGCTTTAAATGCAAAGGAAATTGGGACCTGAGTCACAGAGGAGATGGCTTCAATTGTTTGTGAAGAGGGAGTTACTAGCAGGAAAGTGGTCAGGTCAGAAGCTTTGTCTGGAGATGTTCCCCTGCTAGGTTGTCCCTGGGTCTGGCAGTAGCCTGTGGTACTTGTTCCCTTTCAGGAGTGCTGGAAGCACAATCTGTCTCAGGCAAGTTGCTATCCAGCATGCCACTTGGTAGGCATAAACAAGGAGAAGCTCACTGAAGTGCTTTGAACTATTTAATCACCATCATGGTGTGTTTCTGAGCAAATTTGCCCAAGCCATCATGGCAGTAGCACAGGTAGAGCTCTGCTTGGGACAACATAGCTTTTGGATACCCCTTTTTGTAAGCTGCTTGCAGTGTCCGTAAGCGGACATGGTCTTCAGAGTAGCCAACCAGCAGAAAACTTGCTTTTTAGGCTTTTTTGGTGAGTGTTGAGAGCTCTTTTTTGCACAGATAGTGTGTGACTGGCCAAGAGACCTGCCTGAGGTTGGTGGAGGCTGTTTCAATATGTTCCTCTTTCTTTGGCCCAACAGCCTCTGTTCTTGCTGCGATGCAATGTGCAGCTTTGCAATCAAGGGTACTCAGTGCTATTAAAAAGGCTATTGGGTAGCTGTCTTGGGTTTCTTGCTAAACAGTTTCCAGCATCAGGTTTCCAGCATCAAGTATCCTGGTGTGACTTCACAAGTATTTTTTAGCTAGATAGTTAAGGAGCCATCATTAATCTCTCCTGAAACCACCAGCTATCCTGACTGGAACAGTTCTTTTTGAGCTATCCTCTGAGATGTTGCTGTACCAGTGCTTCCATTAATTTCATTTTGGTTTGTCTTGGAGTCATGTATTTGTATCCTTTCATGGTAGTTGCTTTGCGATGTTAAATGAACATATCTTACTCGATGTTATGGGAGTGATAACAAGGATGGATATTGCCCTTATTTCCTGCACAGGAGCAGGGGAATAAAACAGGAAGATGGAAAGTTGTAGCATGGAAAATTATTTACTCAAGGCATTGCCTGAAGCCTGTGGCAGGACTGGAGCTTCATCCTTATGACTTGCAGTAAGCTGCTGATGGGGCTGTCCTGCCACAACAAGCAAACAATGCTGTCACGCACAGCTTGCTGGAGGATCAGAGATGATTGAGATGATGTGGGCAGATAATAGCCCTCTTCTGAATGCCTTTGATTCATTTCTGCTCTCCTTCAGTTATCCCTCAACTTTCTCCTTCCACTGTTCTGCTTCTGGTGGCTTCTCTCATGCATGGGAGAAGTTGGTGACACAAAGCCATTCGTGCTTTTCTGGAAGCTCCCTGGCACTCCTGATGCTGTAACCTTCCTTATACCTCCATGGGTACCTCCTCTGCCATTCACCTTGTTAAATCCTGTCTAGGTCATTTGGCCTCTTTGCTGTTTGAACCTACATCCTAAGTTGGGCTCTGCATGGCAGACAAACCAAAATGGGTTACCTCTGGGAGGTGGTTGCTGGTCATATGGTGACCCCATGAACACCAGTGTTACAGATGGTGATAAGTGTTTTAATCTGCTCTCATCCAGTGATTCATTTGAGACTGACTTGGCCACTTGCAGTTACATGGTCTCTTTTAGGTGGAGTTTAATGAAGCTGTGTCACTGTCTCCTCTCCTAAGAGCAGATGGTAACAAAGCCTTGGGGGTGGGAGCTGAAATCCTTCAGAGAATCCTCCCTCTCGAGGATGCTGTGTAAGAAGTGATTGATGCAAAGTAAAACAGTGCTAATTGCAATGGATGTGTACTGACAACTTGATAGTTGCTGTGATAATTACAGTAATTAGTGAGATGTTAACATTTTTTTTCCCTGTGTCTAGGCTATAAATGGAAAAGGTAGAAAGGGTACGTGTGAGAGGAGGGGATCCATGAGTCAGGCTTAGGGGTGGCCCTTTAACTTGGGGGAGAATGTGCCAAGGTCCAGGTTGTGAAGGCAACTTGGTGACAGATTTGTGAAAGCAATTCAGAGCTTGTTACTGAGCTGAGATTTAAATGTATCTTGACAATCTGGTCCTCAACATCATGAATTCAAGCCTGGCTGGTTTCCCGTCGGAAGGAAGATCCATATAACAAAGTGCAGTTCCCATTTCCTCACTCAATCTTAAGCTGTTGAAGGAGAGGACAGAACTGTCAGTCCTTCCTGACCAGCACTGTGAGTGCTAATTCCATGTGTGGATTTCCAAGGACTGTGAAATGGGAACCATGCATTTGCATTTTGATCACTCAATTAACAAACTTCACAGCTGACGCATACAGAAAGGCATTGAGGTTCTGCAATACAGCTTGGGTGTTCCTTCCATCTCAAGGCCAGTGAGTCTGGGACAGCAGAGGGAACCAGCAGAGAGTTGAGACAGTTTCAGCCTCTCTCTCCTGCCCTTTTTATTGATTCAAAGCTAAACGTAATGCACAGAAGAAGAAAACTTCCTTGGGAGTGGGAACAATAAAAATTTAGGAAGTATGGGCTGGATAGAACTCCCCATCTCCCACTTCAGGCTCCATAACCTGGGGAGAGATGGTTCCCAGTCTGGAAAGAACTGGGTCAGGTTGCACTGAGATGCATACTGGTAATTTTCATGCTGCTGAGCTCAGATTCTTTCCATATAACTTCTCCCACATTTCTGTGAACTTCCTGGATTATTTAAACCTAAAGAGGATTTTAAATGCTACCTTTAGGCGTTTTTCTTTTAGGCAAACTTATATGCTTTATCCTAAGGGAAAAAAACCTAATATTTTTTATACCCTGACATAGAAAGCAGAATTAATGGTGTCTAGGCATTTGCCTATGGGTACTCTCTCAGAATAAGCCTTGAAAATGCAAACCTTCATTGTATTAACGCATAATGCATCGGTGCATAAAACACCTTTTCTTCTCTAGTGTGATCTGAATGGTCAAGTTGATTCCAGAATCATTGGCTGGGTGGCAGTAACATCAGCAAACCTGCTTGTGAGCTACACAGATCCTAGGCCTTTGCTGCTAGGTGTTGCATGTATCTGTCTAATGCTCTGACCTCTTCTTAACACAGTATCTGAAATTAAAGAATTTTGAGGAGGAAGTCAGAGCCCACAGAGACCTGGATGGGTTCTTGGCCAGAGCCAGCATCATCCTTGATGAAACGGCCACCTCCTTGGACGATGTTCTTCGAGAGATGCTGAAGCACTTTGCTGAAGATCCTGAGAACATGGAGCCAAGCTGCAACTTTGAAAAAATCATGAGCACTTTATTCACAGATTCAGGGACCCCACGAGAAGGGAATGGTAACCACCTCTTGACTTGCTTTTGCCTGTGGGTTACTCTTAAGTTGTCATCCTTTCCACTGGTGGTGTGTTGACGTTCACTACTGTGTGGGTCCCCAGCCTTGCATGTTGCATGTGACACTGGGGACTTGTTTTTCCATGTCAGTTAGACTGAAGGGTCTTATGTCTCCAGGGCTTTTATGTTTTGGTGGAGTCCCTGTTTCGTTAAGATAACATGTAGTGGTGTTCTCTGGGGTGAGAAGTTGACAGCACTGGATTGCCTTGTCTGTTTGGACCCAGTAGGTGTGCTTGTCCTCAGACAAGTTTGCAGTGCTCTTCAGCAGAGACACACTTGATGTCTCTTCAGAAATGGCTCCTTTGCCTTGTGATTGTTTTTCCATCTGAATTCACACAGGCTGGGGGAATTTTGCCTGTTTTGGATGAGTAATTGGTTGGGAAGGGCTGAGCCGTTGCATTGCTCCCAGCCCACTGGAAGGGATGAGAGGCACTTTTCCTCCAGAAACTCAAGTGAGACAGCCCTAGCCAACGTTGTTGGCTCATATGTCACCTTAAGCTATCAGCAAATGTCATAGCATAGTCTAAAACACTACCTTTTAGCCCAAGGTGTAAAGAAGCTTAACCAAGCATTATTTCTCTGTAGGCACCCATGACGTTTCAGACTCAACAGGAGCGAATACACAAACATGTACATCGCACCTCAAATGTAACTGTCACAGCCTGAGTGAATTTGTTTAACAGATATGTCAAGTCCTGAGCATGTAGTAAGCATGTTCATGCTTTGGTTACTTCTTGCTACCTGTCTTAGAGCTTTGCATTTATAATCTCTTTAATATAGGCTTTCTGCCAATAAAGAAAACATAAGCAGTGCCATAAAATAAAACCAGTAAACGGGAAGAGGGGGAGAGAGGGCAGGGGATTCAGAATATGCACCTTCCAGTCCTGTCTCTGTGTGTGTGTGTGTGTTGAATAATGCTAATCTAAGAGCCTAATATTGCAGTAGGTTGATGTTGGGAGGAGAAAACAGCTGCCTTTCCAAGCTGTGAATAGTTTAAGGGCAGAATTCAAAAGCATCAGGACAAATGTTTCCACCTTTCTCTGTTGTCACCTGCTGCCCTTGCATCAATCCACTGTGCAGATAAATAAGCGTGCTTTGTATTAGTACTCAGCTTCCATTTGAGAGGAAATGTTATTTGCAGGGGCAAACCAAACAGTCTGTAATGTTTCCCTCTCTTCTCTTCCTAGTTCACCTCTTATCAGATACAATTCAAGGGGTCACAGCGACAGTCACAGGGGTGCAATATCAGCAATCCTGGCTCTGTATCATGTAAGTACCTGGGTTAGATTAACAGAATCCACTGGCTGCTCAACACTTGTCACTTTTGCTGCTGCTGAGAAGAATAGTGCTTCAGAATGTGCCCTTGTGGGTCAGGATGGCAATGCCCTCTTCATCCCCCCTGCAGGGTCTTAGTCTCAGCAGTAGGATGCTCCGCTTGGACAAGCAGTAGCCTGGGCAGAGGTGACCACAGCCTCTACAGGGCATTGAGCTCTTGGATGCTATAGAAATCTGGTGTTAACAAGCTAAGAATGCTGAAAATAAATGCAAGACAGAAAATGCTAATTACTCAGAAATGTTAATGAGAGGAACTTCTGAAAGGGACAAGCAGACTGGTTTATGGACTACTTTGCCTGCCAAAGTCTGGGAACTCGTACCAAAAGATTTCTTAGGTCCTTTGATGAGAACATCTAAATTTTGTAACTGAAAATTGAAGTCAGAAATTCTGACACTATTTAGACAGTGATTACTTTGTCTGGCAATTAATTCAGGCGCTGATTAATTGTCAACACTGCTAAACATTGGAGTAGACACTTAAGACAGTAAGGACTCTGTCACCTACAATTTATGAGACATGGTGGCTTCACCTCAGCTTCCACTTGACCAAAACTGGGTTTTGAAACTATTGTCTCCAAATCAAGCATGCTGGGCAAGCCAAATTGTCCCTTCACAGTTTGGCATGCCCATTCTTCCCTGCCAGAACCCAAGTCATTGAGCCAACCAAAGCATTGCAGTTTGACTTCTGTCTGTTCCTTTATGCATATGCAGTCTCTAAGTTGAATTGTGAAGAAAGATGTTAATTCCTAGAGAAATTACTAGGATATGTTGGATATGGGCCTAAAGGCTTGGGGAGTGCATGTACATATCTTAGCCTTCACAGCCAGTTTGCTAGGACAACTGTCACAATAGCTTTCCTTCTACTAGCAGTTCTTCTCCTACCCTCTGCTTATGGCTGGGAAAAAATGTGGAGCATTCTGCCTCAAAAATAGGTGACTTAAAAAATAAGTATAAAAAATGACCAAGAAACAGTAAAAACCCCATTCTTGTTTCTAATTTCTCAAAGAAAAGGATGTGGTCTCTGTAAAAAGGGAACTTGCATATCAGGGCTCTGTTCTTCATAAAGTGAACTGGATAATGTCAATGTTGCATGTGCTACTGTTGGCTCTACTCTTACGCCTGGTATGTACAGAGCAGCTTGCACAAGGAAGAGTTTGTACAGTAAAATGGTCTTTCCATACTGGTAAACTAAGAGGCTTTTGAGCAGTTTTGTCCACTTCAGGTGCTATAGGTGGGATAGTGGCAATAAGGATCTGTACATCCTACTCTAGGAACGTTGGAGGGTGGAAGTTTCTACTGTGGCATGTGACATGGCTCTATGGAGGGCTTGGGGGAGTGTTGACTTACTAACAAAGCATTTCTAGAGATCATGATACAAATGCTGTGATTATATACATGAAACTGAAAAGGGTAGGTTCAGCCTCTCTGTAGAAAGTGTGCCAAAGCTTTAAAAGCATCCATGTGAGTAATACTAGCTTCCATGACAAGACATGATTTGAAAGCTAAGCTTACAGCCCGAAGGTGTCTTGTGCAAAACTTTCCTTGTTTCTTCCTTTTGTTGCTCTGAAGAGGGAGAAGAAAGTGGTGGGAAAGCAGCGATGAGTTATTAACTATAATTATCTAATTATTGCACTGTATTACTGCTGTAGCTATTGTGCAACAGATTGTGAACCATATTTTTAGATCTTACATTTTTCTTGAAGTCAGATTGCAAAACAACTTCCAAAACTCTGAAGTAAAAGGGTAATTTGTTGACGAAAAGAGTGGGGGGAGCCTCTAAGATACTTATTGTTCTTCATCCTTGCATTTATTCTATACTCTTGGCTAGATTTTAAACCAGCGCTGCTGGGTTTTGTGCACCTCAACCAACTTGTTATTCCTCGTGGATGAGAGAAGCTTGAGTATTCTTGTGGGATTGTATTAATGAGGAAGAGCAGCTCAGAGATATGGTTTTGGCAGTGTTGTTTCTGCATTGATTTCAAGGGGAAAAAGGCAGACTAGACTTGTATAGGATTTTCAATGAGTTGTGCAGAGCCTCGCTGCAGAAGAGCAGTCCTAATGGACATGAGACTTTGGTTCCCTCTCTGGTGCTGAAGAAAGGGCTGCTCTTTGAATTATCTTCAGTGGGAAGAGTGGTGGGGAAAATTTAGGGTGAAACAGCTATTCTGCTTCTGTTGGAATTGGTGCTTTCCTAACAGTTTCAGGTCTACTGAACCACCAGCAAGGTCAGATGTACTATATGGATCTGGGCTATAGCCACATGATAGAACAAACTGTTGAGGAAGTTCTTAAAGTTTGAATATTCCACTGAAGTCCAGGGGAACAACTGGCTTCTGGTCCACAATAGGCTTTTTTGTCAAGAATGACCAAACCCTGATCTTGCTGAAGCCACACCAGGGTATGTAAGTTTATGGAAACCTTGAGGCTCCTTCACTGGAATTCTGTGTAGCTGAGACTGTAGCACAGTCCTGCACACCCCACTAACCAGCAGTGTCCAGCTCATGAAGAATTGCTTAGTATTTGTGTATGTGATGGTTTTCTAACTGGAAAGCAAACTTCAGTTACACATTAGCTTCATCTGTCAAGGACAGGATCTCAAACCTTGGAAAACATGGACATAACACTTTCTTTCTCCTACTCACAGTGCTTGCCAGAAGAGGAAGACATGAGCTGGTATGGAGATCTCTTGCTGTTTCACTGTGAAGCTGCTGGTTGATTGTTTCATTAGAGAACCTGGGATGAGGGGTAGCCAGACCTGTGCCAGAATGGGGAGTGCTGAACTCTTATCCTCAGGCTTACTAAGTTATTTAGCATGTGGAGGCTCTGCTGTTAGTAGGAGTCTAGGGATGTACTTTGTTAACCCTCCAGCATGCAGTGACTGGTGCAGGTAGATATACTGGTAGGAGGGTGCTCAGAGTTCCCTATGAACCACACAGAGCTAAGAATCTGGTTTCATAGGTGAGTTTCCAGGTAAGTTGAGTAGGTGAGTTTCTGTGTAGATGAGGACCTTGGTGACATGGGTTAGTGGTGGTCTTGGCAGTCCTGGGGTAATGGTTAGACTTGATCACCTTAGAGGTCTTTTCCAACCTGTTTGATTCTATGATCCAGAGTCTGGAGGAGGTAAACTGGATGCTTTGCGTGTCTGGATCAGCAAGGCTCTTGTGAGAGCTATTGGTGTTGGTGTGGCACAGTTTTGTGGCTCAAAAAGCCCAATAAAGGCCTCTACCCTTATCCAATGGAGAGTATATGGGCAAGTGGCTCTCATCACAAGCCGAGTCTTATCACACCCAGTTGCTTTTTTCACCCTCTGACATATGAAGATGCAAATGCCTATTTTAAATTATTTTTTCACTTCTAATGAAGGAAACCTGATGCTATGGGTGTTAAAGTAGCTTTTAACTGACTGCTGGTGGATGCCTCCTTGACATCCTTTAGGAGAAACACCAGCTGTGTGGGTTATTGAACAAATGCTCCTGAGCTGAGTGGAATTCCCCAGGCATCACAACTTCCAGGCTATATTCTTCTTGGCAGGAGATACATATAATTGCTTTCTTCCAAAGCTGAACCCTTAGGAAAACAAGAAAGCAAGCTGCTTCATAGTCTGGATTGAGCAGTTGAAGAGCAGTATCCCTTAGCTGCATTGATGAGGCACATGGATTGGTGAAGGACTTATTTTCACTGCATTAAACTAATTTGCTAAAGCTGTTTTAACATGCAAAGCAGAGGGAAAAAGCCTCTCTGCAAGCAAAGAGTGGTTTAGTGGTTTGTGTGCTCTATGTTGCTATCAAATTGCTTACTCTCATACAGCAATGATTCATGTGGAGGAGTTTAACTCAGAAAAACCCAGGTAGCCTTTCAAAAACAGGTATTGTGAGGTTATTTTGGATATCGAGCAACACCACTGTCCAGATAGTCACATTTGAGTAGTAACTTCTCACATTTAATGTTTAACCGATGGTTGTGTGAAACTTGTAGAGAGATCCATTAGTAACATAAGTAATGCAAAGCCTGTTTCAGGTTTTAGGGATTTGTGTAGACCCAGAAGTTTGTGGGTCTATAGAAAAGCCATGTTCCTTTCAATTTAGCCGTTGAATAGATTTCAGGTAGAGATCCTTCAGTTACTGTGTATTCCTCAGAATGTTGCCCCTTCTTTCAAAGAGCTAAATGGGATCCTATGGAAACTTAAACAGTGCAGCTGTTTAAAACAAGTATTATCCTTTAGATTTATGATTGCAAAATATGGAGTTTTGTTTACAAGGGCCTCTTCTCCAACATGTATCACCATCATCTATCTCAAGTGTTCTTTGGGTTCAAAGAACTGACTGATTTCCTTTTTAAGTGCCTGGCCACCCTTGCTGGGCTCTCCCAGGTTATGCTGGAGAGCTGAAGCTCTTTTGCAGGTGCTGTTATGAAGAGGTGTTCTCAAATTCAAACCCTTCTTTAGGAATTTGGATCCCCAGCAGGATCTGTTGGAGAGAAGGCTGACTTTTTCTAGTGCCTGCAGCATCTGTACAGGGAGGAGGAGATGTTTCCTTATGCATTGACCCATAGGGAACACTTTTCCCTACAGAGATCAACTGCTAGAGAGGATGAGTCTTTCTGGAGCCCAGCAAAGTGCATTTACCAGTCCAGCTTGGAGCGACTTTGTTGCTGTAGCAGCACTGTGCCAAGCTGAGGGTGAGCTGGCTTGCTGGTCACAGCTTCATTCCTCACTTGCAAATTCTGGTTTCTGAAAGTTTGTGCCTGGAGCTGCTCCACGGAGGAAGATTTATGTGCAGTGGATGAGAACAAGAAGTGTCATTGTTGTTCTGCATCAGGACAGGAAAAGGCTGGCTAGCTGATTACCTCTGCTGGGCACTTTTTCTTACTGCAGGGTATCATTTGTTTCTGTATTAACTTCCTTTCTTGCCCTGTTTAAAGAGGTTTCTGTTTCTCTTGGGTCTCCATAGTTTGACCTTTTTGATGATTTGGTTGAGAAATGTGTTATTACTCTGATAACATCTTGGGTGTGGGGCAGACCTGCAGTTTGTGTGGCTCGGTGTATCAGTGATTTTGGTGGAGCATTGCCAGTTCTCACCATCGGAGTGCCACGCTCAACGCTGCTAGATACACAGCCTGGAATGAGAGGAGCACAATGAAGCAGAATGAGTGCTATAACTTAAACGCCCTTTTTATGAGCTCAATTATTGGAGGATCAAGATAAAATTGCTGAGAACACAACCTGGCATCTCATTAAATCATAGCCCAGCTTTGCCTTGTGTGACTAATACCGGGTGAAAATAGATTTTTCAACTTTCTGGCCAAACCAAAGGAGAATCATTTAGCTCAAATCAAACCAAACCAAAAGGGAACTTGGAGACTTTGGCCAAACCAGACATGATTTAGAGTCAGCTGAAAATGCCTTGCTAGTTCTTAAGCTTTTGGGAGCTTTGGCTATTTATCCTTCAGATTATTAGTTCTTTTTTTTCCTTGTAGGAATTTACTTAAGCGCTACTTGAAATAAGTTGATTCATTTTGAAAGTGACTCTCCTCTTGGCCTGGGCTATGCTGAGTTTTACCTGCAGTCTTGCATAACTTGGGATTTCCCCATGTGAACCAAATAACTTTACTTCTTTTTGCCCTTTACAAATATTTGCATAAGTCTAGTGGGGGCTGGGATTGTATTATATTTGTTTCTGGATTCTGGAGTAGAAATAAAAGTGGGAGCTGTAAGTGCTACACCAGGAAATAGGGTTTAAGTCAGCTAAATAATGGCTCAGATTAAAGAAAAGCTTGAGATGAAGTGACTTGTCCTTCCACTAAAAGTACTGAGACACCATTTTTCCCCCTAAATAAGTGGATATAACAGAGAAAGACCAGGCTTAGTGCAGATGAGGCTGCATTCTGCACATAGGCGCTTGTAGGAGTGCTTAGATGCATCAGACCTCTGTGGCACCTATTTAAATCTGGTTTTACTCTGCTTTAGCCTCACTAAGCCAACTCAGCCTCATTTATAAAGGTATTATTGACTTAAATTGTGTCCAGACATAGACCTGAACTAGGTTGGCAATTCTTCAGTGGTTCACACTCAGCTTTACTGGTGTAAGTGATGCTGGGATTCAGGTGTATGTGTTGGTGTCAATAGAGCTCTTCATAGAAGAGTTGAAAGGAACTGTCTCAAGGTGTGAGAAGTTTCAAACTCCAGCACTGTAGATAAAACTACTTCAGATAAAAATGAGTAATGATGTGAGATCCTCTTGTTGAACACTCTCAGTCCCTCTAGTTAAGGAAAAAGAGAAGTCCTGATTCATTGAAGCATAAGGTTTTGGCTTGGTTGCATGGAAAATTAGGTTGTATGTGAAAGGGATCCAATAGCAAAGAGCAGCCTTTTAGAGTCAAGTTTTCTCCTCCATACCCAAGAAGTTATTGAACTGAACTGTGGTGTAGCCCTGTGGACTGGCACTGTGGCAGGATAGCATAGCCTGAGAGACAGAGACAAGTTAGAGAGCTGAAACATAACCCTGTCACTTCAGGGAGAAAACTAGGTACAGAAGAACATGTGGCTTGCTTAATTATTGCACTGTATAATGGATTTTTCCAAGTAACTTGCTATATTGCAGCATGATTTCATGTATTGTAGCTAGGAGAGCAGGGCTCTTGCACATTGGCTTTCTTACCTTGGGTAGGAGCAGTTGAAGATGTTTTTGTGAGGTTTCAGTTCTTGGATTTACTCAAATGGGGTGGGAGCAGACATGCAGGTACTGAGATGGCTGGTAACTTGTACCTCCACAACACATACAAACTTACCTTCACCTTAGTATCCTGCCCCACTTCAGGTACTGGTGTGATCAGCCCTTGCCCTGTAATAAGTCTTCTCTGGCCATAGTTTGTACTTCAGTAGTTTCTTGCCAGGGCAAATACATAGTAGGAAACGTGTAGTAGACGTGGTGGGAAAGGGATTATGTCTGGAAAGCGTAGTACAGCTAAGTGTAGTTAGTATGGCTCTGTGAGCAATAGATATCTGATATCTGCTTCTGGCCATGTCTGGAATAGAAATGATATTCAGAAAGCCTTCCTTTTCCAAACAAATTGAAGAGCTCAACAGCAGAGTGTGAAAATGCTGAGAACAGAGCTCAGAATACACGGGTAATGTTTGCTCATTGTGCATTAACTGTTCACTCCTGGTGACCGGGTGGATGAAGGTGAGAGAACTGAAGGTGTTGGACCACTTGAAGGTTTTCCTGTTAGTCTAAAGCCCAAAGTTCATGCATCTTCCCCATTGACTTGTTGAACTATAACACGAGGAGACTTGTATGCTGTCCAGCCACAGAAGGATTGCTACCAAGAGCTTTGATTTGCTTGTGAAATAGTGTTGTCTGTGTTCATTTGATCCCTTGGGAGGGAAGGACAAGGATTGTTTCAGATCCAAACTATGGGTTTAGTCAAAAAGATAGCTTACACTCTATTTCCAATTACTTCAGAAGAGATTTAACTCCTAACCTTAGGACCTGACTTAATCTTTCTCTTTTCCAAAGCTAATTCAAGTAGAAAAAGCACAAGGGACTGTGATGGAGGGGAGTTGAGAAATAAATGAAATACTGTCATCTTACTCATGACCTGTATTGTTCTAATTAAGCTGTTTGGTTGTTCTCTGACAAGTGTCTTTGTCAGATTGATTTGTGTAAGTAGGCTGCTTCCAATCTGTGATCAGGAAGTCAATAAGAAAACACTTGGTGGTGTGACTTTTGCATGCAAGTTATTAAGGACTGAAAAGAAAGTATAATGTGCTCCTGATGAGTACATCTCCAAAGAGATGGCTCTTCAACTCTTCAAGAGCCGTTACTGGAAGAGCCTTCAGGGTGCATGGGTGTGAGGATACATGTTGCAAGGAAAGAAATGGAAGAGAAGTTAAAGGAGAGATGAATCCTCCTATCACAGGGGACTGAGATAGGTGCTTGCTAGATGAATAAAAGGGAGCAAGCAGTCAAAGTGACTTTGAACCAGAAAAAAGTCACTCTGAGGTAGGAAAACACACTTCCATACCTCTTTCAGTGTTAACAGGCAAACCCTGTGTACACGTTTTACCAGTGCTCTTCAGAAGATTTGGGAAGTAGTAGGTGGCTTTCATGGGAATAGGAGAGCTGCATTCCAGGCTGACGTTAGCAACCTCCTGCAACAGCACCAAACCACTTCCCAGCAGGAAAAATGATGGCTATTCATATCACAGCTCTGCTTAAATATCCCATTCTGGTCTTTCACAGCATCCAAAGATGCTCTGTGTTTATTTCAAGTTGTTGCTAGTCTTTGTTACTGGAGTCAAACAACCATCACATCCAGTAGAGCTGACTGGATTGCAGCCAAGGGTTTCCCTCTGAGCAGTAATCCCGCCTGCTACAGCCTTTGTAGATCCTGAGCAAGGAGGTCAGCTTGGTTTCTATAACTCACCTGTACCAGAAAGGGGGAAAATAACAGCAGAGAGCAAATAGGGAAATCAATTCCAGCAGCGAGAGAGCAGCCCAAGGCAAAAGTGGAAATATGTTGGTTTGGCATCTTGCCTTAATGTTTCCAAAAGCACTTTGGGAGATGAGGTGAAATGAAATGAAGTGTAAACTGCTTTCCAATAATGTAGGTGGTGTTCGTTTCGAAGAGGGCTTTTCCGTAGAAGCTTCTGTAGCACTGCAAGTACTAGATATGTTACGCTTTGTCTTTTGATTTCTTGGCTATTAAAAAGCAGACAGAGAAGAGGGAAAAGATGGAAATCTTGAAAGTTATTTCCCATAAAACCCTGGATGTAAAATTCTACAAGAGTTAGAATTATTGGCTGATAGTAACTTAAAGGCACCATTTAAGAGTTCAGAAGTGACCCTTTAACAACCAACATCATCTGTTGTTTCTCAGAGTTGAAATAGATGCATAAACCTTGGAAATGCCCCTTGCACATGCCCTGGTCTCTTGTCCCAGGTAACAAGTGATAGGACAAGAGGCAACAGCCTCAAGCTATGCCAGGGGAGGTTTAGACTGGATATTAGGAACAATCTCTTCACTGAGAGGGTAGTTTGGCATTGGAACAGGCTGTCCAGGGCAGTGCTGGAATCACCATCCCTGGAAGTGTTCACACAACATGTAGATTAGGCTTCAGTGCCAGGGGTTAGTGGTGGCCCTGGCAGTGCTGGGGGAATGATTGGACTTAATCATCTTAAAGGTCTTTTCTGACCTGATTGATTCTGTGATTGTATGTGTCTAGAACCAAGTATAACAGTGCCATCTTCATTGACAGTTGCACTATAAAGTCCCTTCAGCGACGTCATGTTTGCATCAGCCGCCTGGAGAGGCCTCAGAATTGGGGTGAAAACTCCTGCGAAGTGAGATTCGTGATATTAGTCCTTGCTCCTCCAAAAATGGTGAGTATTCTGTTTGCATTTACTCTGATGCTTCAGACAGTTCTCCCAAGATTGCTTTTCCTTGGTCCCTTTGGCTTTATGATAACATATTACTTTTTAAACGCCAAGAGGATGTGAAAATGCCCAAGATCATCTCAGCAGTTGTCAAGATGATTTATACTTTGTGTTTGTGAGGGGTAAATTAGTCAGCTGTGTCCTAGTCTCATCCCAAAGAAAGGCCTTTAGCCTGACTGGGAGGAAAACATTACAGATCAAATGTGTCTTAGTCCCCATATACTTTTTGCTAGAGCTACGGTGATGCATGCTTTACTCTACAGATAATGCACTTTTTGCATGCTGTGATGCATATGCAAGTCCACAGATTCGCCCCCTGCCAGCTTTACTAGTTTAGCTACTACTTTCAGAGGTAAGGAATGCTATTCCTGCTTAAAGCCATGCTTGTGAAGGCCTCTGAGTCTGTAGCTGATGCCCCATTGCAAAGGTCTGAGTTGCTTTCCAGCAAGCTCTCTTGATGGAACACTGAGTCATGCTGCAGATGTGGTTGCAGCAGATGCAGATGGACTGATGTAACCAAGAGGAAGATGTAATTTTGTGAGCTCTGTTACAGTATGGACAAGACTACTTGGGAGCTGGGTTGCTTCTAAGGTCAGACTGTCCTGAGGTCCACTGGGAAGTGTGTTCATAGCTTTTGGCACTCAAACCAGCAAGGTTAATGCTTGACAAATGTACTTACTGGTTCTTTGGTGTAGACAAGTCAAACAAATAGCATGGTAGTACACATTTACTGCAGTATCATGGGGGGCATCAAGGTTAATTGGGGATCACCATCCTGTCTTCCTAGAAAGCCCTGGCTTGATCAAGCTGGTGTGTTCTTCTAGCTAATGGTTGAATGGTTCAAAGCCCAAGACCTTTTCACACTTAAGCTGGCTGTTTACACCTTGGGACTACTGGGTCTGTGCTTCTGGGAGCTGCTGGAGAGGTTGGAGACCTTGTCTGGAACAGTATGCATCCTGATTCAGTTTCCTGCTCTTCAATGCTATCTATGTGACCTTGGGACCTTCTAGTCTGGTCTGTCTGTCACCTCTACCCCTCCACCACCACCCCTGTTTAAATGGAAATACTGGTGTTTCCTTATTTCCCAGGATTTTTGGCAGATTTTCCCAACTGAGCAGTTCAATGCTTTTGGCATACATCTGAAACCCAACTGGCTGAAAACATATTGATGTTCCTTATGAAAAGCAGCAGGGAAACAACTGAACCCATGTGCAATTGCATTGATCTCTCTTTCATTGTATGGCAGTTTGCTTATCTCTGGCCAGCTACGTGCAAAGCACCCAGCAAACAGCTCCACATCCGCTTGTAGCCTCGAAGTTTGCATTTCCAGTGGACAGCATCAAATTAAGGGAAGGGAGTGGAGGCCAAGCAGAGCTGCAGTTGCCAATATGCTTTTTATTTTAAATGAGTTTATCTAAGCCAGCTCTAAGTACGCATTTCTGGTACAGCAGTTAAAATAATTAACCTGCTGACAGTAACAGATGAAATGAGCCTTGCTTGGGGAGAGAGAAAAAAAAAAGCCTAGAAAATGGACATCTGTTGTGCTAAGGAATCCAGATCCTTGGCCTTCTCTAACGTGGAGAACGGAAAAACCTTGTTCTCCTGCAAATCTCTGTGCTCTTTCTCTCTTGGAAAGCAAAGAAAGGGAGCAGCATCGGGAAGCTTGAGGTAAACGCTTGCAGCATCCAGCCCAAAAACTACTGCTGCTTCGAGGTGAGAGGAGAAGACTCCCCTGTGATGGCAAATGCAGGCTAAAAGAACCAAGCTTACAAATTCTGCTCCCAGAGCAGATTATCTTAAATCCAAACCCTTCCCTAAAAAGTGAAATCGAACATGTCCTAGCAATCCTCTGTGATGAAGAGAGGGTGATGGAGGAGAGGGGGAGGCAGGGCAGTATGAGTGATGAGGAAGTGTAGTGTTAGTGATACCTCTGAGACTAGTGCAATGCCACCCATGTGTCTGTGCTGTCTGCATCAAGCGACAATGAATTATTTGGTTGTGTTCATGAAGAATTTGTTCATCTGCTTTGTTATGAATCATGCAAACTAATTCAGATCAATCACACATGCTCGCTACTACATTTCACAGTACTGCGAGGAGGCTGGAGGCTGTCCAAAGGAGGGTGGTTGTTTGGGTGTCTTTGGCAGTTGCTGCGTGGTGAGTGTAGAGTGTAGCTAAGGCGGGTGGGTTAAAACTTTGCATCAGAAGGAGCTCTTAATGAGCTCTGGTTCTACATGACTTTGCCTCGGCAAATATCTTGTCTGTCCTGAACAAAGTGGTACAAGCAGTTGGGCAGGCCAGGGATGTAGAGCTTGGATTCGGTGGCTTTGTGCAGGGATGGGGAGCTCATTCTCCTTTATAGTTCCTTTGTATCTAATTTCCAATGTGCTTGGAGCAATAGGAAAGCAGTCTGGGATACTGTTGAAGCTGGATCCTCAAAGATCAGGCCTGTGGCTCACAGAAAGATTAAAGCCTGCACATAGGCACTTGTTCATCTTTTGTGTTTGCAAGTCTCCTGTCCCTTCCAAGCATATAGTGAAGACAGTGCAGCTTGTGTGCATGCTCAGCTGCTTCTTTCTTATGCTTTCCTTTGTGTGAGTAGTTACTTCAGCTGAGAGCTCTAAATCTCTACTTGTGCTGCCAGAATTGTCCCAGAGAGGCCAACTGAATTGAGTTTTAATTCCCAGAAAATGGGAAGCCAATGAAGCAGATACACACAATAATCTCAGTCTTACAGAAAAGACACTTGTACCTGCAGGAACCTTGACTACAGCATCTTTCCACCCTAGTAGCAGTAATGTTGAGATGCTGGAGGATAGTAAAGACTCTTTGTTAAGCCTTAGCAGCTTGGAAGGGAAGCCAGGGATAAAATGCATGTTTAGCAGGATTCAGATTTGGATCAAATCCTGGGAAGCTGATCAGGTAAGACTGATCAGTGCTTCTGTATGTTGATGAACAGACGGGATCCTTCTGTGGTTGATATGCTTGTTTGCAACAGCTTCCACACGTACCCTTTTCCACTGGGTGTCTCAGGGGTCCTGGAAGCCAAGCAGCTTGCTCTTCAGTTCCAAGTGGGGTAGATCAGTGGTTTTACATTATAGAAATGAAAGAAAATAGTTTATAAGGGTCTTTTGTGTCTCTTTTTTTTTTTCCTTTTTCCTGTTCAGAAAAGTACCAAAACAGCCACAGAAGTGGGCAGGACCTTTGCCACAATGTTTTCGGACATAACCTTTCGGCAGAAGCTCCTAGAAACCAAAACAGAAGAGGAGTTCAAGGAAGCCTTAGTCCACCAACGCCACTTATTGACGGTGGTGAATCAAAGACCTTCGATAAGTGATGGGCACAAGTCACACGGCCATAAACCGCTCAAGGTAAGGCTGACCAACGTCTGCCCTGCCCCTGCTTCAGAGATGTCTAAATGTATAAATGCAAGGGGTTTGGGTAAGAAGATGAAGCACTTGGGCTGCTTTGCATCCATTGGGCTTTCCTGGCAAGCTGTACGCACTGAGCTTTCGACACGCTGCTGCTGTGTCTATGCCCGCTTTCCTTAGCTCCTACTGTAAATCTAAAAGAGAAAACCCACTTCAAAGAGGCAAGTGCTGAAGGGATGCAGAACAGTAGGGGGTTGAAATGGTTACAGGACTTTGATTCCAGATGCTTAGTGAAGGGTGGGATTAATGGATCACTGTGCATTGTCGGTCCAAGGTACTTAATCCTTAGAATCTGAAGGGAGCTGCTGCTTGTCTTTCCCACAGCCAAAAGACTTTTTGGCCATCTCTGCATAGTAATTTCACTTAAAAATTGCCTGTCAGTATTTGGCCTGACTTCTCGCTGTTTGATCTGTAGTTCTGTAAAATATTACTTGCTCTGTACTTTAAAGTACGAGGGAAATGCTGTAACTCTGCTTTCTTTTCTGGAATTTCCTGTGTATTGGTCATTGCTTTGTTTTTCTGCTCAGAAATTCATTCTTTAAGCAGACAGCATACCTGAAAAACAAACTGTGCCATCTCTAGCCTGCTGCTCCTGTCCCTGAATTACAAATAACCTTAAAGCTTTGAATTGCCTGCAGTGCAGAAGCTGGTTAATTTATCACTTCTTTTTTTTCTCCCCTCTGGGTTTTGATCTGCACATCTGGAAATAAGC